AATGACCGTTGCGACGGTTTCAACACGGATGAGTTGTCGGAGCGGCTTGTGGATGGCCGTGCGGGAGTCGGGAGGGCGCAGGACTTGGTATCCTCGTCCTCGTCCTTGGCGATGGCGGAGGCCTAGTGTGCCCGTGTGCTGAGATGGGCGGGGAGGGTTGGTGGAAGCGACGACCTGTGCTTCTTCTTCCTCCTTGTAGTGGTAGCCCGGGGGCTCTTCTAGGTGCCACAGTCCTGCCCCTATGTCCCCGCCTTGATTTGTCCCAGGCTACTTCTAGCCTCCGTCTAGGACCCAAAGGCTCTCTCACGACAAACTATGTCATGGGTGGGCGTCGTGAACTGGCATTTGGCGTTGCAGAGTTTGCTTGCTCGGCTGCAGGGCCCACGATGAGCCTGAGCTTGCACATGCTCGGGCAGGAGTCGCCCTGGACGAGGGTGTGCTGGTGACTCTCCATTGCAAGGTGATGGCCTTCGCATGCAGCAACAATTCGCATGTGCCTGTGTGCATTAAGTGTCGGTCTCGCAGTACGGGTGCTCGTGTGGATGGGCTTGGTCGCCCGTGCAACGAGCGTCCTTCCAGGAACGCCGCTTATGCCTGGCGTGATCTGTGCATGGGAATTCACCCAAACCCCAGGAGAAGGCATGTGGTGGTCGACGTCTGGGCTGTGTGTGATCTTTGTGGATCCGACTCGAGTCGCGCCGCAGGGCCGGCGCGTGCTGGTCAGCCTGAGATTGGTGGAGTTCGGCCCGCCAGTACTTATGCTAGCCCTGCGTCGGAGGAGGAGGAGGAGAAGGGGAAGGTCTCCGTCCCGCCTCAGGCCCCCAACCCCCTCGTTTGTCGGAGGAGCTCGGCAGACTCGTCAGCTTCGAGCGGTCCCCAGACCGCTGCGCCTGCTCGAGGCGGCCAGTGGTCGTTGGCCACTGAGCGATCGGAGTGGCTTGGAGTCTGGGTCGGAGTAATTAGCACTGTTTTTTCCTTGCTCATCGCTCGCCGCTGTTCGATCGGACAGCCGCCTGCGATTCACTGCCCAGTTGCCCGTCGTGCTTGTAGAAGCTCGGCTGCTCTGGTTAGGTCACTTGCTGCCACGGGTCTCTAGGGTGGGTCTTGCCCCTCGGCGCCCCACCGCACCCGTGGCCTTTTCTATCCCCCTGGCCCGTGGGGCCGCGGGGTGGTCGATGCGTTGCTCGCTCCTCGCATCGTCATGCAATGTGCCACCTGCCGCTCAGTGCTCGAATCTTGTGGCAGAGATGGCGTTGAGGCCAAGCAGGAAGCCCAGGGGTTCGGCTCGACGGCCGACCCCCGCAGACAGGGTGCTACCGGGGCGACCATGCACACCTGGCGGTGAAAGGCGTGACCCGCGACCTGAGGCTCGAAGCCGTGGTCGACGGACACGGCGAGAGGCGAGGGGCCGGAGGGATGCACCGAGTCAAGCGGAGCTCGGCATCTGCCACGTTTGGGACCTCCTTGTCCTTCTCGTCGTCCTCATCCTTGCCTTCGGTGGGTGAGAAGGCGCCAACGGATATCGACTCTGGGGCAGCCGTGGATCGGCTGCTTGTGGGAGCCTGGGAGAAGAGTTAAACATCCCATGCCACTGCGGCCTGGGGAGAGCATCCCAGCCAGAGGTGACGGCTTGGGCGACGGCCTCATGGAGCCTCGCGGACAGGGCTTCAGGAAACCAGGTGATCGCGCCAGGGATCGCGAGCACAGCGCGTGCGGCGCGACCAGCAGCAGCGGGCGACGGTGCAGGGTGGGCGGCGGCCTGTGAAGGCCTCCAAGAGGAGGGCTCGCAAGAACCGGGTGGTCGCGCCGACTGTCGCCAGCGCGCAGTGCACGTCGAGACCAGCAGCGGAGGGCGCTTGGCCGTGCCTGCTGGGGTGGCGAGGGCTGTCGGGCGAGGGGAGGTGGGTGTCCTCCCCGTAGTCCTCGTCGTCGTCGTCGTCGTCGTCGTCGTCGTCGTCGTCGTCCCCGTCCTCGGTCAGGAGTGGGAAGAGACCTGTACTTCAGCCGGGGCGGGCGGGTCGGTGGGGCCGTCGGCACAGACGGCAGCGGCCCCGGCGGAGGGGGCTGGCCGACCGGCGGGTGCTGCAGTGCGGGCAGATGACGCCAGCGTCGATGAAGGCGTCGATGAAGGAGTGATGGAGGGCGCAGGATCTTGTGCTCGTTCTCGTCCCCAGCGATGGCGGAGGCCCAGTGTGCCCGTGTGCGGGGATGGGGGGTGAAGGGCTTGTGGAAGCGACAACCTCATCCTCTCCGTCGTGGTGGTGGCGGCTCGACGGCCGGCAGACAGGCTGCGCACAGAGCAAGCACGCGCAGCGCGACGATGGAAGACGCTACCCGCGACCAACGGCGCGGGGCCGTGGTCGACGGGTTCAGCGGGGAGTCGATGGCCCGCAGTGGTGCAACGAGCAGATCGGAATTCGGCGCCAGCCACCGCGATCGCCTCCCCGTCCTCCTCGTCATCCTCGTCCATCGCTGGGGTGGGCGAGGAAGGAGTCGTCGGCGGAGATCGACCCTGGGGCAGCTGAGGGTCGGCTGCTGTGGGGGGAGCTCCTGCAGTCGGAGTCCCAAGTCCATGCCGCTGTGGCCTGGGACGAGCGTCCCAGGCAGAGGCGACGGCTTGGGCGACGGCCCGACGGAGCCCCGCGGACGGGGCTCGGAGAAGCCAGGTGGTCGCGCCAGGGAGCGCCAGCACAGCCGCGCGGCGCGACCAGCAGTGACGGGCGACGGTGCGGGGTGGGCGGCGGCCTGGGGCAGTCTCCCGAGGAGGACCCGCAAGAGCCGGGTGGTCGCGCCGAGTGTCGCCAGCGCGCAGTGCACGTCGAGACCAGCAGCGGAGGGCGCTTGGCCGCGCCTGCTGGCGTGGCGCGGGCGGGTGGTCGTCGACCGTGGACTGCAGCGTGCCCGTGGCTTGCGTCGGCCGAGGGTGGGGGGGGGGCAGGTTCGCAGCTGGGGCGGGCGGGTCGTTGGGGCTGTCGGCGCTGACATCAGCGGCCCCGGCGGAGGGGGATGGCCGACCGGCTGCAGTGCGGGTAGCGGCGGAGACGACGCTGGGGGCCTTCAGATCCGTGCGAAGCTCCTGGAGGAGCGCGTGGGTGTGTGTGTGTGTGCCGCGCGGAGAGATCGACGGTCAGCTCGAAGCTCGTGCAGAAGCACGTCTCAGTGGATGTCTTCTTGTGATCCTCCTGGGCGCGGGGGCACCAGGAGTTGTGTATGTATGTGTGTATATATATATATACATAAAGGGAGAGAGAGAGAGAGAGAGGGAGAGGGAGAGAGAGAGAGAGGGAGGTGAGAGAGAGAGAGAGAGCGAGAGAGAGAGAGAGAGAGAGACAGATAGAGGGAAAGAGAGACAGGCAGAGGCAGAGACAGTGACAGAAAGGGAGAGAGAGAAAGGGAGAGAGCGAGAGAGAGAGAGAGATCTAGAGAGAAAAGACCGGACGCTCGGGGACGGGGATGGTGGGCGGAAGCGCAAGTGGTGTCCACAGAGCGAGAGCCGCCGCCGCGCCCCCGCCCTCCCTCCAGCGGCGCCCGCACCAAGCGGCCGCTGAGACCGGTGGCCTCGGGGCCGGCAACGACCGGCCGGCTCGCGGCAGCGGCGGCCCGGCAGAGTCGGGGCGCGTTCCACTACTCGCAGAGTGCCTGCTCGCAAACGTCCAGAAAAACACGTCTTCCTATCGTAAAAGCCCCGCGGCGGATCCAGGCCACTTGCGAGTAGCTGTTTCTCGAGTCGTGGAACGCGCTTGTCCACTGGCAGAGTCGGGGCGCGCCCTCTCTTCAAGCGTGCTCGCCAGAAAGGCTCACCCAGCGGAGCTGCCCCGATACGCCAGTGCTGAACCGCAGCGCGTACCGTCGGGCCGAGGCATGAGATCGATGTCGGCTCGGGGAGGGTACCCTACTGTTATTCGTGCGTGTTGGATGTTATTGTATATCCTGGGGAGGGTATCCTTGGATGTTCTGTGTGTTTTGACTGGCGGAGGGTCTCATGTTCTTGACGGATTTTCCTTTGGCCTAGGTATAATTGTACCATGTTCAAAGCTTCTCGGTCAAGTACGTGCCTCGACGTGTTGGTCCGTCCAGGTTTGACGAACATAACGCGCCAGACTTGCGTTTTCAACATGCATGTCTTGCTCCGTGTCGACACGCTCTGGGTTGCATGTTGCGTATCAGGGCGGCTGAGTTGCTCATATCTCGGACGTTTTTTGTTGTTGTTCGCTTGCAGTCCTGTTTTTTTGTTGTCCCTTCGTTTCGGGCTGCTGGGGCGGATTTCGGGCCCCCTGGCCTACCAAGAGTGGACCAGGGGCGACAAGCTGCCCCCAGGGAGGGGGCACGAAGCGCTGGGGCCGCGGATTGAACAGAGTCAGGTCTTCGGATGCCTACTACGAGTTGCTTCATAAGCGTCGGGGGGGACGTCACCCCCGCCGACAGCCCCACATCGACCCCCGTCGCAGGCAGCCACCGCGCGCCGAAGGCGCTCCGACCCTGGTCGCGGCGCGACGACGAGGCGAGGTTGACCCCCGTCCGGGGGGTACCCCCCCGTGCTTATTGAGAAACCCGTCGGGAGGGGGCACGAAGCGCTGGGGCCGCGGATTGAACAAAGGGTCGTCGGATGCCTAGGCGCACAGGGTTGCGCTCAGACAGTCCCAGAGGCAGATCCAGGCTGGCCTTGTGGACGACGATCAATGGAGAGGAAGCGTGTTGCCAAATCATTGCCCGATGTTTAAAATGTTTCAAACATGTCTTAAGCACGTAAAGACATGCTTTAACATGCTTTAGAACATCTTTCAAGCAGTTCAATCCATTTTACAATAAATGATAGGACTGTTAGGGCGCGTCCGTTGTCATGGCATCCACAAGGCTGGCGCCACCTCAGGGTTGGGGTGTTGAGGCCGCCCCTGGCTGCTCGATTGGCCTGTCAAGGATGCCTGGGACGACCTGGGGGGGGGCTGTCTCTGCGCAGCCCCAGGCCTTACCATGTGGAGGCCGCGTGCAGCCGTGATGACGAGCGCCTCCGGAAGCGGACAAAAAAGACAGAAGTTCAAGGCGTCGAGGTCGAAGTCGAGATCGTCGTCGTCGTCGTCGTCGTCGTCGCCGTCGTCGTCGTCGTCGTCGTCGTCGTCGTCGTCGTCGTCGTCGTCGTCGTCGTCAGGGGGGACGCCCCTTCGAGCCAAGGTCCATGTCGATCCTGTCGGCCCAGTTCCATATCGATCAGCCCGATCCCAGTCGACGATCCAATGCGGCCCGATGCCTGCGTGGCGTCGTTGGGCACCCTCTGGCGCGGCCGATCAGCGATCCTGTCCCTGCCCCGTGCCGATGGGGCCGACCCGAAGCACTTTCCGACCCGATCCTGCCCTCCTCCTCCTCCTCCTCCTCCTCCTCCTCCTCCTCCTTACCTCCTCCTCCGACGCACTTTCCGACCCAATCCGATTGCCCGATTCCGTGCTGGCAGATCCTGCCCGAGAGGCTGGGGGCGGCGAAGAAGAGGGTTGAGTACTGGGGTTGCGCGGATCTCGTGGCCAGGGTCATGAGCCGCCCCAGATTAATCACATGGCCCACCTCGTCTTTCAGGACGGTCGGGAACGTTTTGTTTGCGAGTTGGGCCGCCGGTTCTGGCCTACCACGCCTCGGCGCGGCACGCTGTCCGTGTCACAGCCCCCAGGCGTCGACGTTGCGAGCCTTTCCCAGCCCCCTGATCCGTGGAGCAGAGCGACACGCTATCCTTAAGTCGGGCGCGTCCCTCTACCATGCATTCTGCCACCTTTGTTGCAGAGCCCCCCAAGCACGGGTGAATGATGTCTGGTTTCGGGTGACAGTTCAAATGGCACGCCTCCATATTCAAGAATAGGCAAAGCATATTACGGGGGCGATTTTGTCGATTCTTTCTTGGCAAACAATTTGTTGGTCAAAATCCGCCTGTCGGGGGACATGCCCGACCTAACGCCATCCACTCGCAAGGGAGAGCGTGTCACCGGGGCCGCCGCAGCGTCACGCTAAGCAAAAGTTCCCGACCGTAGTACGGCAGGTTTGCGCCACGCTGACGCGGCGGCGGCCCCGGCGCGGGCGTCACAGGTTGCACGCCGCCAGCGGCCCGGAATCGCAAGGTATCGAGCGATCGGCGCTGCCCGGAAGCCGCGATCCTTCGAGGTTGAGCGACCCACGCGGCGTCAGGAGCCAACGCCGACGCCATCGCGACGCGACCCAGCCGTAGGCTCCCTGCCGCGCCCCCACCCCCCTTCCTCCGCGGACCACCCTCTGCCGGCCCACCCCCCCTCGTCGAGACCCCGGCGGGGCGGGCCGCCCGACCGCCCGTCGTCAAGCCGCCACGTCCCCAGGCAAAATGGCCGTGCCGTGGTGGAGCCTGGCCGTGCTGGGCCCTCGCAGGGGTCGTCCCAGGATTCGGCCTGTGGCACCGAAGAACTCACGGGCCGATCTTCGGCAGGTCGGGTCCATCGTGCTACACCTGGGCTGGTCGGTTTTCTCGACCGCCGGTCTTTTGCCATCCTTCTTGGGGCTAGTTTTTGGGACGGAGATCGACTGCAGGACTGCTTTACCCTAGAATTGATGTGCTTCGTCGGATCAACGAGAAATACGTCGAATGTTACCAGATCGACAGAAATCGTACGTGCTTGTCGTAGGTTCGACTGGGAAAATCAATTTTGGGGTAAATCGACTCTGTATACGATCTCCTACTCGAAGTCCTCATGCTCATGCGCTCCAACTGCTCAAGTGGCATGCAGTAACTCTCAGGACCAACTCTGTCCCCCGTGTGATGCACATATCCAAGGTTGGCGTCCCAGGACTCCACCCCCGGGACGGCGTCGAAGAACCCGTCTGGCGCGGCGGCGCCCTCGGATTCCCACCGTCCGAGGCACGCTTGATGTGTGCCGTCGTCGTCTTCGGCGGCGGCGTCGGCGTCGGCGTCGGCGTCGGCGGCGTCGTCCTCGTGCTCGTCCCCGCGCGTGTGCGCTTGCCCGCTGCACGAATGACGCTCTGCACGGCTGGCTCTGCTTGGCGGTGCTCGCCTCGATCTGCGTCGCCCCCCCCCCCCCCCCTGGCAGGCAGCTGGTGGCGGCGAGGCTGTACTGCGCACAGTCTTTTTGAGATTAGGGCCACTTCGAGATTCGGGGGTGGAAGGCCGAAGCTCGCAAGAAAGCTTTGCGTCGTCGTCGTCGTCCCTCCCCCTCCAAACATTCATCTACTTGCACACGCCGTTTATGTTCGCTTTCCGCTGGGGCGGAGAGGCGGGCGCTCGTTATTGGTTCGCCTTGGTGGGACTTGCTGCCCGATGCCGGGATCTCCCTCTCGAAGGGCAGCGGACTTCCTCTTCTCCTCTGCTGCCTCTTCTTCGGACCGTCGTTCTTTCCTTGTCCGCCCTTCCCTTGGCTGGCCGGCGTCGCTCCTGCTGCTGCCGCCCCTCCGACCCAACAGGTGGGCCGCCCCCCGCCGTACGCCCCCCCCGAGCCGAAGCGGCCGCTGGCCCGGCGCCTCGCCGAGGCCCGCCAGGCCTCCGGGGGGGGTCTCCCGTGGCAAGGCTGCGGGTGGCGCACAGACAGTGACCCCCCGGGCATGGGGAGGTCTCGAAGAAGAACAAACGCCACACGCGTAAACTTTAGGCGCTCCGCGCGGGATTTCTTGGATTCGCGCTGGGACCCCTGGCGGCGCCTCCGGCGCCGCCCCTGGCGCGCTCCGCGCGCCAGGGGGGGTTCCAGCGCGGACCCGAGAAATCCCGCGCTGAGCGCCAAACATTTATGTTTATGCCGTTTTTTCTTCTTCTAAGGTCTGTGTCGTGTCGACCAGCGGCGAACCCGCCGCAGGCGTTCAACGTCGAACGCCCCAGGCGGCCCAGAACCGGTCGATGTTGGACGATCCGGCGTTTCGGAAACTCAGCCACGCGCAGAGGGGGGAGGGGGGAGGGCTTCTTAGAAGCACCCTTGCCTCTTAGAAGGCGCGGGCCTTGTCTGTAGATGTAAGGCCGGCGCCTTCTAAGAAGCAGCCTCCTTCTAAGAAGCCCTCCCCCCTCGCTCCACCTCCCTGTGCGCGCCGCCAAGAAACGGCCGACAGTTCCAGGTTGAACGATCCCCGTGGTGTCAGAAACCAGCGCCCTAGTCGGCACGACACGAACGCGGGGGTCGACACGATAAGAGCCCGCGGTAAGGCTTCGGGTTGCGCACAGACAGCCCCCCCCCAGGTAGTTCCGGCTGGCCTCGACAGGCCCCCAGAGTAGGGCTGAGGTATTGAGACCGCCACGGACTACTTGAGGGGCCTGCTGAGTCCAGCTGGGACTACTCGAGGGGCCTGTTGAGGCCAGCTGAGGCTATCTAGGGGTGTGTGGCGTGCACAACCCGAAGCCTTACCACATGTACCCATGATATTTTTTTGGATGTGTTGCTTTAGACGCTCGTTGCTTGCTTTTTGCGTCCGTCCCTTAGTGGGCCCCGGAAACGGCAGGGCCTTTTTTTCACCGTTTCCGAAAAAGTGTCTTTTAAAAAAGGAACCGGCAAAAAACGGCGACCGGACACGGCAAAAACACGGTTCCAGGATTGGAACCAGAGCCGGAATCGGTAACAAAAGCGGCAACGGAACCGGTAACAGAAACGGCGTCGGAACCGGGGCAAAACGGAACCCGTAAACAAACACCGCCTTGTCGTTTCCAGGGCCCACGAAGTAGGGTCGGTCCCTGTCTGCTTCCTTTGCTGCTTCGCCCCCGTCTTTTCTCGCACCACGCTCACGCTGCATTGTCTTTAATCCGAATGCTCTCGACGCCATGGCGCCAGTGCTCTCCGCTCCTGGTGGGACCGCGCCCTGGCGCGTTGGGAGCGTTCGTCTGTCCGTCTCCTGGGGGTTTTCCTGGCGGACGTGGAGCTTCTCCTGGAGTTGGGGAACGAACAATGACATAAACATAAAAACTCGGAGGTCCGTGCGGATTTGTCGGATCGGCGCTGGACCCCCCTGCCTGGCGCGCGGAGCGCGCCAGGGGTGGCGCTGGAGGCGCCGCCAGGGAGGTCCAGCGCCGATCCGAGAAATCCGCGCGGACCTCCGAGCTTTTATGTGTATGTCATTGTTTGTTCCCCTGTCGAGCGCCCCGTTCCTCTGTGAAACGCGAGGGGGTTTGGATCGGGAGCGTTGCTGCTTTTAGGGGGCCGGTGTCGGCGGAACCTCGGAACGCTCGAGCGTGAGGCTTGCTCTCGTAGAGAGCTGAAGAGCCAGCGCGATCGTCGACCCGACGACCACCCCGACGCCGCAGCGGAGGATCTGGAGCTTCTCCTGGCCTTGTCCTGGAGGCTTTCGGGGAGCTCGTGTTCCGGCTCCGTGCCTCGTGCCCGCCCCGCGCCTCGGGTGAAGTCGGGCGTGTCCCTTTGCAGGAGGAATCTTGAAAAATAGTAGAAAAATAGTCAGTTGAATATTTTTGGAGTCTTGTTCGACTGTCTTTTATTTTTCGTCCGAAATCCGCCTGTAGGAGGACACGCCCGACCTAAGCCTCGGGGCCGACGTGCCTTCCGCCCAACTGCTGGCGCTGGCCGGGATTTCGTTCGATCTCTGCTGCGCTTGGGGATGGGTGCGGCTGGCGTTCTTCGGGGGAGGGCGCCGCTCTCGTCCAGACCCTGCTGGGAGGCATCGACGACGCTTCGACATTCCGACATTCCCCTCGCAGAAGCCGATCGCACCTAGGACGCCTGCTGGTCTTGCTGCTGGCCACGCTGGCACTGGTGGCTACAACCCTGGCATCACCTAACAGGTCACCTCCGTCACTGAGGTTGACCAACCTGGAGGACCTGCTGGCAGCCGACACCCTCTCCCTGGAGGGCCACGCCGTGCTGCCGATGAAGAGAAGGACCCGCAGTTGCAGGCATACATTGACAAGACCAAGACGGACGTCATGGCCAGCTTGCACGTCATGCAGCAACGCTTGGCCGCATTATCATCTACCGTGGCGGACCGCTGCAAGAGCATCGACAAGGCCGTGTCGCGCAGGATGGTGCACGTCGAGAACGGGTCGACGGCCACACAGACCGGGCGTTCTCGAACGTGAAGTGGCGGAGCTTCGCCAGACCCTCGGACCGACGCGAAGAGCCTGTTCCGCGACCTGCTGGGCTCAACGCGGGCTTTGACCGCGCTGTGGAACCCCACATTCGTGGTCGCCAGGGTGCAGGTCCCTCCCTCCAAGACCGCCGTGGAGAATGCAATAGTGGCTCACGGGCCGCAGCCTGGATCCCAATGACTGGCAAGTGGAAGGCGACGCAGTCGCCAAGCGCTTCGGCATCCAACTGCGTGGGCAGCGTACGTGCACCGCTCGCCGTGCTGACCAGGCTCTTGGAGCTCTTCGTCTTCTTGGGCGCGGAGCTAGCTGGAGGAAGGCCACGGCACCCTCGCGTGTTGGAGGTCCCGAGTGGAGATCTCCTTCAGCACTGGCAAGAACCCCAAGGTGACCTCCCGCGAGCTGGGCTGCACGAAGATCGCGAAGACCCTCGCCGTGATGTGCGGCAACAGGCGCTTCTTCGTGGACCGCGAGAAGGAGGGTGCCAGCTCGTCATGGAAGGACCTCATCTGCTACGTGCCTGCCCCTGGGACCTCGGAGCCAGTCAGCCACTCCAAGGAAGCGAATTTGCGCCTCCTGGACATGGACGTGGGCACCGTGCGGAGCGCCGTGCAGCGCTTCTTCCAGACGAAGGATGACGACGAGTTGTGTCTTTAGCCAGCTGCTAAAGGCCTGACAGGGGGCTCCTCCGCCCCGCAGTTCGGTCACGACTACATCGTGGATTTTTTATTCTTGCTAAGCCATAACTTGGATCTCCGCTCCAGGAAAGGTTGAGGTTCTTCGGTCTCCGTTGGCTTCGTCGACGATTTTGGGTGTCCAGAAGACCTCGAGGGCGTTAGCGGGGGCTGAGGACATGCTGTAGCGTTTCCACAAGCCAGCTAGCATGTTTCATTCTTTCTTTAGGACCGAAGAGGGCCCGATCCGCTCGAATGTGAGAGGCCCCCTTACATTCTTGCCCAAGGTGGGGTCGGGTGCTGGATGCCGAGTTCGGGAGCTTGTTCTTGGAAGGGCTCTGAACGTCCTGGTTAGCTTTGGGTCTGGGGTCTGTTGGCGTTCCCATTGGAATGTCTGCAATTCTGGGGGTTCTGCTGCTGCTTGGTCGTGGGTGATCCTTGGGGCCGAACGCGGTCTTGAACGTGCGAAAGGTTCACCTGAACGAGCCCTTGTAATCTTGGTAGGTGATTTCGATATAAGTAGCGCTACCACCTATGCCCGCGGCTCCTGATGTGCAATTTCGGCCGCAACTCGGGTTTCACGGATGGAAAGCCTCCAGGGATGCCCGCTGGGAGCGCCTCTTCCCCAATATGGTTGAGGTCGAGCAGCAGGGCCCCGCACACTAGTGTCTCGCCAATGATTCCAAGACTGTGACTGATCGGATCTTCCTCTCTATCTCTCTGGGTGGGGGCTCGTCCAGATGAATGCAGTAGGCCTGGTCAAGGAGCTCGTGGAGGTTGTTCACCATAAGGACCTCTCAGGCCACGCCCCTGTCTCGGTAGATCTCAGAGGGGCCAAATAACGACCTATTGGGAACCGCACAGTTCCGAACACCATCTTTGGGCCATGCTACTTCCAAGTCGTCACGAAAGTTTTCGCCTCGGAGGATTTCTGGAACGATCTCCTCCCGCCTCTTAACACAGACACTTGCAAGATTCTGACGACGAGAGGAGCCAACTTCGCTGGGAATCCCATTCTCCATCGAGACCCCCGCAACCGCCTTGGGACACTTACCCTGTACCGATCTGGTGCGCGAGGAGGCAGGATGCGAGACTTGGCCCCATGTTCTTGCAGGCCCATGCTATGGCACGGGAGCTGATGGGCAGGGACCTCGGTGCGGGCGCCCTCTAGCTTAGGGACCCTCGCAAGTTCTCGGGTGACTTTGATCAACTGCAGATGGCCCGCTTTGAAGCCTAAGAAAAAACTCCCTGGATCCCGAGCGCCTGGGAAACCTCCCCGAAAGAGTCCGTCGAACACGGCGCCAACAAGCTCGGCGATTTCAGAAAAGAATTGAGATGTGGGCTCCGTTTGACCAGCGCTTGCATGTGAAAAGGAATTCTCATGCGTGCCAACGCGATTGCAATTGCCGGAGGGATGCAGTGTGCCATTGGGGGTTACTGATCTGAGGTTTTTGGCCCCAAAACCGTTCTTGAAGGAGCTGCATTGAGAGAGTGTGCGTGGCTGGTCCAAGGTTGCGTCTCTTTGTGGGGAGAATTAACATAATAAATCAGCAACCGCGAAGAATTCGCAGCTTAGATTCGACACCTTCGGGCTCCCAGGTTTTTTTTGGATTTCGGGCCTGTCGTGATTCTGGAGGTGCGCAATGTGTTTGTGTTGTACACAGGCACTGTGGTGTACAGGCGCTGTGGTACACACACATGGCGCTGAAGCAGCAGCTGTGGTGCAAATGGGTGATGTGGTGTGCACAGGCACTGTGTTGTACAGAGGCGCTATAGTGCACATGGCTGCTGGG